GCAGAGTGTGAGCTGCAAGGTCACTGGAAGGGTGTAAATGGGGAAGGGGGAGGGGGAGGGGGCATTCGCTGGTGTTGGGCAGCACCAAGTAAAAAGAGGAAACACAGATATTTTAAAATAATTCGGCAATACAGACTGGGATCCACTACTCATTTACACGGATCAGCCATAACATTAAAACCACCTGTCTAATATTGTGTTGGTCCCCCTCGTGCTGCCAAAACAGCTCTGACCCATCAAGACATGGACTCCACAAGACCTTGGAAGGTCTCCTGTGCTATCTGGCACCAACATGTTAGCAGCCGATCCTGTTACTTGCACGGTGGGGCCTCCACGGATCGACCTTATTTGTCCAGCAGGTCCCACAGATGCTCGATCGCAGTTAGTGTTACTCACTCTGCAACAATGTTTAGGTTGGTGGCACGTGACAAAGTAACATCCACACAAATGCCAGGACCCAAGGTCTCCCAGCAGAACACTGCCCAGAGTATCACACTGCCTCCACTGGTCTGCCTTCCTCAGACCACTTTTGTATTCCAGGTACATCCTACAAGACCGGCATTTTAGGAAATGTTTGTATCTAGTCTACCCATCACAATTTGGTCCTTGTCAAAGTCTCTCAGGTCCTCACACTTGCCCATTTGCCCTGCTTCCAACACATCAACTTCAAGAACAACCTTGCCTAATATATATTGGCACCCATGACAGATGCCATAGTAATGAGATAATCAATGCTATTCACATCGCCTTCAGTGGTTTTAATGTTATGGATGATCAATGTATGTATTAACCTAGTCAAAATACTCAGCAATTAAATCTCATATCATCTCTATCTCATATCTAGAGTTTCCAGATATTAATATTCGTGTTGACATAATCATAACAGTAAGTCGTGCAAGTGTGTTATAAATGCACAATAATTTTATGTCACAATTATACGTGAGAAACTGATGACTCACAGCTACCTGGCAAGATCAGAAGGCAACAGAGATGACACAAGGATGCAGCCCATTTAAACGGGTCTCAAGCGTGTCCATTTCAATGAAAAGCTGGTTTGAAGTTTAAGCAGTTTGGCAAGTACTGTGAATAGTCTGTAAAACAAACGGCCTTTTAAGTGAAAACATCCGCGCATGTTTGCATTTCACGTTGAAAAGATTAAGGGTTCAAGGTCAAATTATGGTCATTTTCAAACTTACCACGGCAAACTCTGTAGAGGGGTAAAGTCAATATAGGGAAGTGCCTTTTGGTTTTGCACCTATTAAATGCTGCATTGTCCTGTTTCTAGGAGGTTGCTGGTTTGAATCCCATCAGCCGCAGCGTAATCATACCGCTGTTGGATCATTAAGTTTCTTCTGGTCTCCTATAAGTTGCTAATATCTTGTTGGATGGTTTGATGAGCACCCAGTTCCCAAACCTCTCCTCAGGGGCACTGCACCGTGAGTTCATTAAATTTCTCCACCAGATCAATTAGGTAATTAGCTGGATTTGTAAAGAAATTAATGAGGTATTGATTAGCCAGTCGAGGTGGGGTAGTGGTCAAGTCAAAAAATACACTGGGGTATTGGACAGTTGCTGCAAATCCTGGGGTGACTTAGGAGAGGTTTGGAAATGGCTCAGCAGACACACTCTGACAGACATAACATCATAGTTTTACATCAACATGAAGACATTTTTTTGACTGCGTAGGACTTTTTCACAGTACTGTATGTGTGCAGGATAGCATGAGGGCATATGTGAAAACCAAAGAATCTCTAAATTGTCTGTACAGTACTATTGTTGGCGTGTGAACTTATGTGCTCTCTGTTGGACTGGTATCTTGCCCAGGATGTGCCCCCAGCCTGGTGCCCAAAGCTGCCTGTGAACCTGACCAGGATTAACCCTTTGGGAGATAAATGAATGGACTTTGTCGCAAATCTGTCACATGATACAGCTGCATGTAACACAGCTCTTCCCTCAACTGAGTAAGAGGAATCATCCTTTCAAAATCAGCATCTGATCAGCAGTTTCACTATACAAGTTAATATGCAATGAACAAGAACATATAAATGAAGAATTTCTTCATCGTACAACTAAACTCAATGTAGGATATCACCCTTTTTCTTGATTACAGTTTTGTTTCATCAGTTAAGAAGGCCATTATAAATAGCTTTTTAGTGTCTATTTAAAGCTTGTTTTTATAATTCTTTTTGTATGATTCTTAGATCCTGAAAACCTATCTACCATGGCATTGATGAGCCTAAAAAGAATGAACTCGTTTTGACAATCCTCTCTATTGGGCATTATTCATGTAAGCTCAGGTCGCCATTGACATCAAAGGAAGCCAGAGCTTTCATCCTGTCATTGACTGTGTGCTAAATAATGGCATCCACTCTGGACGACCATAAAAAGCAACCTGATGATTCATCGCTGTCCCAGGGGGCTAAACCTGTACCAGAATCTGTCCCTGCACCTTGAGCACTTGGCATTACTTGGATTACCTTAGATATAGTCCAGATTCATTAAAAACCAGAGCAACTCCTCAAGAATACCCTCGGATTTGATATAATGAGACTGTCATTGATACATTGTAATACGTTGTTTTTCTACTCATGAAGGTGATGATGAAATAATGATTTACTTGTGACTCTCAACTGCACTGTAACTCATCCCAGTTAAACCAATATTCCAAGTCTACAAGAGCATCTCTTTTTATTTCAGCGACAGATGGTAAGAATGCCTGTGAGAAAATGTGATATACTGCCAGTTTTATAATATATAACCACTACACTTTCTTGCGTAATACAAAGCCAGACCAGAAGGTACAACTGAAGTTAATGAAGTGGATTGCAACTAAAAACAAACCATTGCTTCAAATCTTGCTGTAACACTCTTTGAAAATTGACAACAAAAGTGTAAATTACGTAACCCATGAAAATCACACAGAATAAAACTCTGACAAGTTATATTTAAACCAATCACAACGATTCTACAGTCGCTGCTGTGTCCATCATGGAAGGAACCAAATGATGATTAATCAATAGCAGGGAAGATCAAAACACAGCATGTCACAAAGGCTGTAAGCCTTTTCCTTTCAATGACAGCTGAATATAAGCTTTGTAAGAGCCCTGAAATGCCTGAGCGTATAATACTCTCCACCTTCAGACTGCATAGAGACACCTCTTGCCTTATTAATTCCTTATCGTTAACTGACCAATGCTGAGTAAAGTATGATCAGTTATGGCAGTACCCAGAAGAGGATGAAGTGAGGAGGACTGGATTACAACCCAACAAAGTATATAAGGAACCACGAGGAACATGGTGTCTTACTATACAATCAGAAGAGGCAAACATCAACCTTGACTATGTCTAGGCAATATCTCAAGGTGCCCCAATAATGGTTCAGTCAAGTGGAGAAATTTGTTTTGTGGAGTATAATTCATTCCAGCAGAACAGTGGCTCTCGACCTCTTTTATCCAAGGATACTGGTTATGATATTATTTCTCTTGTATGAATTCTGCACTAATGACAAAAATTGCTAGTAATTATTATTATAAACATTTTCATTTGGCTACACTGTCAAAAAATGTAATTTCTTTTCATCATGATTCAAACAACGTTTCGCTCCACTGTCCATTACCACTCTTTTCAATAAGTTTATGATATTGCTCTTAAAGCAGAAGGTGAATGAGCAAAAAAAACATCTAATCTAAAACCTATTTGGCAAACAGCTCTAAAACCAGAAGCTTGACAACCATTAAACATGTGCTTAAAAACTAAAAAGATCCTCATTTTAAGATATTAGCCTTCAACAAAATAAAACGATTACGAAAAAAAAAAAAATTGCGATGTTTTTAATAATGTTGTGAACCGAAATGAACCAAATAACAATGATTCCTTGCCTTTCCCCTCCAACTGATAACTGAATGATTTTAACTGTGAATTCTGGGATTCTGTGTAACATCACAACCAAAGCTTTCGCACCTGTTTTCACCCAGGAAGGAATACTATTGGTTTCTATTAAAAATCTGAAATGAAGTCGATATTAATGGTATTGTGTCATCCTGTATCTGGTTTTGAAAAAAATATTGATATATCATAAAAAATTCGATACAGGATACCGCCCAGCCCCAGCTTAACCAATATAGTATTGTTTTTCTGCTCTTTTCAAATAAATTGTGTGCCCCCCCACCCCTTTATCCTCACTGTCGACCCCAAATGGGCTGTTGCCACCCAGCACTAGAGAATCCCCCACCAAGCTGCTGTGTTGCTTGTCCAAATCCCTACAATTACATTGTACATAATCTGTATGTATGTTGTATGTCATTATTTGGGCAGGATACTGCTATTAGCAATGTTGCAAAGGTTTACTACCTTAAATCGCCATAGATATCCTTGTTTTCACTGTCATACACTAATATAATCACTTGAGTGTTATTGCTGCTGGCCCTCCCATTTAAAATAATCCTTCCACATTCATAAATTAAAGTGTCCAGTACTGAGTCTTAGAAAATGCCTATTTAAAATGTGTTCATAAAAGTACTCAATGTCTTCACATGGGGGTTGACTTTGTGGCTGGATAGGTATATAAAAACAGTGATAAATGATTCAAAAGTAACAGATCAGGGCTAACAAAGCCCTAAATTCAGTTTTCATCAGTAATGTATCAGTAGTAGTCCAGAGAAAGCTACATACTATACAGTATACAGCCACAGACATATTGTCTGTGTTATTGACATATTGAGACTAAAGATTTCAAGGATCAAAGGGATTATTGTTTTCAGTTTGATGTCATTGGGTTCTATTGTTGAAGCCATTATTCAGGTGTTTTTTTCAGGTAGAAATGCAGTTAAATGGAGAACTAGCAGCACTGTGACCCATGTGAAATGATATTGTCTATCCTGCATTAATGCACGCAGCGACCCGTGTCATTTCCTGTAATGCGAAAGCTAGTGACTGTGAGTCTTCTCATTTGAAGCTAAGTGCATCTGGGGTTTGACGTGAGCGATGTGACCATGGGCTACCTGCTTTCCGTCCAGCGTGTAGATCTTCTTGACCACGCCGCTCTCCAGCTTGATGGCCTCGGTGATGTCGGTGAGCACCTGCTCGAAGGAGTGCGCCGTCTTCTTGTTCAGCAGCACCCTGACGACCTTGCGCGGCTTGGAGCCACTCCGCATCACCGTCACCAGCTTGGGCCGCACAAAATCCTTGCTCTCCTTGACCTCGTTGACCCCCTTGGCGCTGGCCAGCGATTGCAGGCCCCTCTGGGAGGCAGAGGCCTTGACGTTCACCGACCAGTTGGGGTTGACGTTCCTTGTGTAGTCCACTTTCTTGTAGTAGTTCTCTGAGGCACAGACGTAGCTCTCTCCTGCGCAGGAGAACATGAAACGTGGGTGATGAAGTGACCCAAACAGTGTCGCATTTGAACCTCAGATAATCTACACGTCTCTTATTATATAGAAAGCATGTCCCTTATACGTAGTTAGGGATGAATCCGGTATAGGAGCATGGTGTTGCAGTGGCTCGCGCTGTAGCTGCACACCTCTGGGACCTGGGTTTGAGTCTTTGCTGGGGTTCTGTGTGTATGGACTTTGCATGTTCTCCCCATGTCATTATGGGGTTTCCCCTGGGTACTCCAGCCCACCCCCCCCACCCCCCAGTCTAAAAACATGCTGAGGTTAACTGGCATTACCAAATGGTGTATGAGTGTGCCCTGCACTGGTCTGGTGTTCTGTGCCTGTGGCCTCTGGGATAGGCTCCAGACCCCCCACAATCCTGAATAGGACAAGTGGGTACAGAAGATGGATGGATGGGCACCATGTGGATTCAAATACATGGAACAAAATTACAAATAACTGCCAAGTCTCTGCAACACAAACAAAATAACCTAATTTTTGTGGCTAAGCAAGTACATTTCTCTGACAAAACTTACACAGCTTGCAGTTAGCCAATTTTTATAGCTATCTTATTAAAATATATAACAGGTTTGTTCCTAAGACCTTGAAATTCTTCAAAGGTGCTTGAAGCCCAAATCAAAAGAGTATTTTCACTCCAAATAGGAATACCCGTTACCCATTAAAGGTTACTCATTAAAGGTAAACAGCATAGGGCCCTATGGCAGGGATCCCAGACAATGCACAATCAATTGTAAAATGACAAAAGCAATTCAGTAAAACATCAATTAAATGTCCCGTTGAAACATATAATAAAAAAATAAGGTTGCGAAGTTTCAAACTTGCTTTTTTTAGGACATAATGCAGATACGCTCCATCTGATCCTTCTCTAAATAGGCCAGGGAACATTTGTGTGCACCCTGCAGCACCCTGGCACCATAACAAAGATTTCGGGAGATGGAGGGACATGGAGGGACATGGAGGGACATCATCCCCTTAAGCAGCTCATACTGACAAGCAAACCATCCACCTGCTTCCTCGCTCTTTAATGTCTGGGTCGCGTTCTGAAAAAGGACGACGTGTTTTATTGTCCGAGCGGAACGTGACGAGCCGTTAACGACGTCTGTCGGATGGGCAAACTGTTGCCGGGGTGGGCTGCCCAATTAAGGATGGCACAGGAGATGAGGCATATGGTGCATGGGCCCAATGACAGAAGCGATGCGATTTTGCTGGATACTGTGCCATTACACATGTGATTAGGATGACAAGTGAAGTCAACTCCAGTAACTTACTGAACCACTGCACTTTGGAAACGGAACAAAAAGCCAAATTATTATTAAAGCCAAATATTAAAGCTGAAAGCATTAGACCAACATATACTCAGAGATTATCATCTCAAAGGGAGCATTTTTCAATGGCTGGTTGCTGCTGCTGCTGTCATTTAGGAGTTTTAGGATCGTAGGATCTTCTTCCACAAACATGTAAGTCTAACATAGCCTTGGCTATTTGGCATATTTTGAGCATGGTTGCATGAAGACACCTTGTTTTAGCAAGTATGAAGCACTTAAACTGGATTTTAAACTACAAGATGTGTGACATACCACATATACAAGTATTAAAACTATTACTGTACAACTGCAGTTGGAGGAGCAACAGCAACAATCATACTCTGTCCATTAATCCATCCATCTGTCCATCCATCCATCCATCACACGGTCATAGGAGGGTCTAAAGCAACATATCCCAGGCAACACAGGATACATATTAATAAGAATAAGAATATTGCACTATTTAAATTGTCTTTAGTACTTTAGTGTCTGTCCCGTCATGAATGTTGCACCGTGGGTTCAGAAGGAACTCTGTTTCATTTCACTCTGTATTGTACATGGCTGAGAGGACAATAAAACTTTACTTGACTTTATTGAATAATAATAATAATAATAATAATAATCACCATCGTTATCATCATTCTTCATCATTTTGAGTGTTCATGTAGTGTCTTATTGTTCAGAATAACGTTAACGCAGAGCGATTATCCCAAGTCCGTTTCAGCCGTCTGGGTCAGTGTGCCGGACTCACAGCTTGGACATATTAATTCATAACAGCTGAAGCTGAACTAATTATAAAAATAAAAACAGAAAAGCTTATGTTTCGACATACACAAAAGTATGGTGCCTCTGGAAACCATTCTCCAGACAATGTTTCTCTTTAATCTGAATATAATTAAAACTGTCAACTTAATAAAAAAGCAATTGTAATGATAAAACTATCCATTATGAGTCATAATGGTGATAATATGAAATATTAAAAATACAGTTAATTAAGACTAAAGTATATGCAATGACACAGAGGGGCACAGCTCATTCATCTGTTTCCAATGATAGCAAACCTTACAATAATTCAAGTAATTTTGCACGATTTATTGCTTTTATATCAAAATGCATTCAGAGAACAAAATCCAGGCTGGCTGTCCATATTTTGAGCTTGTGTTACATATACATCTACATGCCAATGAGCATATTCAGTACTTTGCGCCGTTTTCTGTGCCCAAATGTTTGGTGAGTTATTTGGGGGGCTGACAGAAAAGCCCACTCAAGGCGGGGGCAATGGACAGGTCAGGGTAGCCTGTGTAGCTGTGGATGAGATCTGTGTGTAACACATGTGCCTTTTAATGTGGCTCAGAAAGTGGATGGATCAATGAAATAATCCATGTACATCTAGTAATTAATCATATGCAGATGCATCAGATTCTGTTTTTGCTAGTAAAAAATCCACTTATTCTATTTAAAACTGACTTCAGGCCAATTTTCACCAGAATTCTTTTTAGCAAGTTTTGTTCTACTTCCTGCAGAAAGGTGCAGTCTGCCGGATGATATGGAGATGGTTCATCAATGGAAGCTTCACCTTAACCCTAGATTCTACAGAGCGACGAAAACGCACAACAATCAGTGCCACATCAGTCTTAAGTCCTCCCTATAACACAATAAGCGAGGAAAGGCAGTCTTCAGTACCACACAATAAGGAGCTGGAAGCATTGATTTTATAGGTTCCGGAGAAAGCAAATGACTTGACATATCCACGATTCATCAAGTGTGGAATTTGACAAGGGCAACAAACAAGCAAGCAGGCTTTTCCTGCTTCAGTCCCGTGTGGTAGGACGTGCCAATAGCATTAAAGGACCAGAAAAGCAATGGAAGATGTCTGTGTCTCTATGGGACATTAATTCCCCTTGACTTCTGCTCCTAACCCTGTATTAATGTCCATCAACAGCATTAGGCCATGAAGAAGAGCACCAAGATCCAAGGCAAAGAGCAGCGACTCAAGGCCCCAAATCAGCTCAAGAGACAAGTAGCTAAATACGACAAAATCCCTTTATGGAAAGATTTGATATTTTGAATTAATGTAAGTAGTTTTTTCCATCAATTATTTTTAAATATTTAAATATTTCTACATCAGTACCTCTATTAACTGATCTAATGTGCAGATGCTATGTCATTAAATTTATAACAAAAAAAAATATTAAAATAGGACAAAATGTGGTATTTTTTCACACTCCTGCTTTATAATCAAAATTTAATGGATGGAATGAGAAAAATACGATAGATAAGGCAACTAAAACATTAAAATGCTAAATTATGATGCATTGTAGTTGGTCTGGGGATGGATTAGCATCACATATGCACTGATAATTTTATGCTTTTGATCTAGGGTTCAGTAAAATGTAAGTGGGAAAAATGATGCTGCGTGTGGCTTTAAGGGCTCCTTCCCGCTGAAAACCATCAAACAAAATGAGATTTTTTTTTTCAAGGCGGCAAACTAGATTCAAACATATGGAATGTAAATTACATACTTCTACACTGTCTTTGAGTGTTCAGCAAAAAATGCAGCACAGGAGCCAGCCTGCTAATAACGTACTGTAATAGTAACGTCTTCTACATTCAGAAGACTCAGAGATCAAAGCGAAATCAAGAGAACCCTTTGGTCTTTGAAATGTTCAGTTTCAGACCAATATGTCAGTGAATGTTGTGGTTTCCATCAACTGCATGACATACAGAAATATTTAATTGTATTTTTCTGCAAAGTCTATCACATGGATGGTACTCCATTCATTCCTCAGCTCATCTCCCAGATTTATATACTTGGTGGCCCAGTAAAGTTGAAATTTAAACCATTAATGGGTAATGCTTTACATTAACCTTTATGATGCCTTTATAATGCATTCATATAACATTTATTGGTCTGTCAGTCGTATATTAAAGCTGTTAAGGGGTGTTACAATGTTAAAGTATACTTACATGCTGCTTATGAATGTTCTATGAATGCATCATAAATGTGTTATAAAGGTGCACTGAATGTTCCATGAATGCATTATGAAGGTTTGCTTTATATAAAGCATTGTCCTTTATTCTAAGTATAAATCAAGAAGAATACCCCACAAGATTTGTTCCCATCGCTTATTACTTTATTTTTTTCCCCACAGAATTTCATCTTGCTGCAACATCCATCGTATATCATGGCCAAGGTCGCAGGGGTCACACAGATGGCAATTCAGTGTCCCCATCTGAACTAAGCATAAGTCCTTGGACTGCGAGGGGAAAGCAGGGTACCCAGACGAAAAGGACAACGTGGGGGAAAGCACACAGGCTCCAGAAACACAGAGCTGAGGCAAGACTGCAATGGCCAGGCCCGGAGGGGTGGGGCCACAGTGCCACCCCCTGAGCCAGCAGGCCAGCCTCAAGCTGAGATGCTAAAAACAAAACGCTGGTTTAACTGGAACAAAACACTGCTGCAGAAAGGGGCAGATGCAGGATTTCATGTCAGCTCCTCCGCCCGACCCCCAACCTGTCTGTCGTTGCAGAATTGCATTACAGGACATGATGGAAAGAGGGGGTGTAAAAACAGGTGTTTACGTTTATATTTGGCATTTCTTGCACTTGAAAATTAGTTGTTTGTTCTGCAGAGTAGATGTGAGAGTCCCATCTCAGTGAAGATTTTTTTGTTAGTGGCACACCGATGTGGACATTTTGATGATATACGATATTTTTGTGTAATACCGCCGATATAGATAACCAGCTAACCTCTGAGCCACTTGTCGATCTACAGGTCAGGTTTAATAACGAATTATACACATGTAGATCCCTTATGAGTGGTGAATGAGTCAAATCTCCTGTCCTTCACTATGGAAATTGGTTGATCGTTCAATCCAATCATCTCGGTATTTTAGTATTTAACTCCAATGCTGCTATCTTTGATTTTTGATAAAGCTTTAATATCGGCCAGCAGTATCGGTATGCTATTTTTGTTCCATCTTTATAACGACAGTATATAATGAAAAATAATCAAAAAGTGAGAAATATATTGCACAAGAATGTGTGTGAGCGAATCACAATCTTTATTCTGAGGGGGAAAAAAAATCACACGCGATTCGTATTTTACCCAGAATCAGGTGGCCCCTACACCTTTTTTAGATTTCTGTTGCAGACATAACGAGGCTAAAAAAATATTACGTTAGCCAAATAATAATCCTAAATGCTAAGGGTGTGCACAGTGCCTACAGGCATGCAGCTACGGGCACCCATGACCGCAAAAGCAATTTCAAGTCACTGTCTGTTATATAAAACCATTGTATTTCTGATGAAAGAAAAACTATTCATTAAGCATAAAACATAGACCGAAGGCAACCAACAATAATCGTAACTAGTAAAGCATTCATTAATAACTTCAGTCATTTATAAAACTAAACTCTTTTAAAAAAAAAAAAACCACAGTAATGGCCGTGACTGGCGTGAACTCGGTGAACTCGGCGACGGCCTGACCCTCCAGGAGAAATCCTGCCAGTTCTGGCCCAGGGGCCGGCCAGGGACCTTTGGCTCAAAGCCCCTCACTTTAATCCCCCCTAAAATATGGCCGGGGAGAAGCCCATCTGCTAAAACAAAGCCGGGGGGGGGGGCACAGCGACTCCGCGGGCAGCCATTACACCTCGTGGCTGTGAGGCTGCGGGTTCGAATTGGTTCCGCTGTTAAAGGGTACTGGTCTTAGTGTTTCCATGACTTCACAGGACTGCTGCTACATGCTAGCATGACGTGCTGTTCAAATGAACCGGCGATGCTCTTAGCCTGTCGTGTGAGCCCCCCCCCCCCCCCCCCGCGATGGGGCAGGGTGGCGTCCAGAGCATAAACGGATTATTGCACTGGAACTGCACCCATTGACAGATCTGGTCACTAACCAAACTGCCAAGCTTTACAATGATGACCAACTAAACTGGCATACCTTTCTATTAGAAGACATTGACCTGTCAGTCGTAAATCATCGATCCTATGTATAGATTCTCCCGCTTAATGTACTTTTGAACCTGTAGTTAGTGGAAGCATGTGTTTCGTATTTAAGGCCAATCAGCACTGTGTAACATTTGATGGTTCTCAATGGGAATGTCATTTGGCACCACCTTCAAAGCATTCAATTACGTAAACAGGCCTCTTTTTGTCATGGGGCCAAAATGGAAGCCAATAATAAGACCTTAGTCTCAAGCTTACCATAAGAGTTATATATACAACAAATCATTGTTAGAGACCTGTATTGCTATAGATTATTTGTATCTTATTTGTAGTTGTATGTTCAGCTGAGGTCAATGTCAGGTCTGTGTTCGATTCAATATAGTTCAATTTATTTCCCATAATAATTGCCCAGAGGACTTTATACACTCACCTAAAGGATTATTAGGAACACCATACTAATACGGTGTTTGACCCCCTTTCGCCTTCAGAACTGCCTTAATTCTATGTGGCATTGATTCAACAAGGTGCTGAAAGCATTCTTTAGAAATGTTGGCCCATATTGATAGGATAGCATCTTGCAGTTGATGGAGATTTGTGGGATGCACATCCAGGGCACGAAGCTCCCGTTCCACCACATCCCAAAGATGCTCTATTGGGTTGAGATCTGGTGACTGTGGGGGCCATTGTAGTACAGTGAACTCATTGTCATGTTCAAGAAACCAATTTGAAATGATTCGAGCTTTGTGACATGGTGCATTATCCTGCTGGAAGTAGCCATCAGAGGATGGGTACATGGTGGTCATAAAGGGATGGACATGGTCAGAAACAATGCTCAGGTAGGCCGTGGCATTTAAACGATGCCCAATTGGCACTAAGGGGCCTAAAGTGTGCCAAGAAAACATCCCCCACACCATTACACCACCACCACCAGCCTGCACAGTGGTAACAAGGCATGATGGATCCATGTTCTCATTCTGTTTACGCCAAATTCTGACCATTTGAATGTCTCAACAGAAATCGAGACTCATTAGACCAGGCAACATTTTTCCAGTCTTCAACTGTCCAATTTTGGTGAGCTTGTGCAAATTGTAGCCTCTTTTTCCTATTTGTAGTGGAGATGAGTGGTACCCGGTGGGGTCTTCTGCTGTTGTAGCCCATCCGCCTCAAGGTTGTGCGTGTTGTGGCTTCACAAATGCTTTGCTGCATACCTCGGTTGTAACGAGTGGTTATTTCAGTCAAAGTTGCTCTTCTATCAGCTTGAATCAGTCGGCCCATTCTCCTCTGACCTCTAGCATCAACAAGGCATTTTCGCCCACAGGACTGCCGCATACTGGATGTTTTTCCCTTTGCACACCATTCTTTGTAAACCCTAGAAATGGTTGTGCGTGAAAATCCCAGTAACTGAGCAGATTGTGAAATACTCAGACCTGCCCGTCTGGCACCAACAACCATGGCATGCTCAAAATTGCTTAAATCACCTTTCTTTCCCATTCTGACATTCAGTTTGGAGTTCAGGAGATTGTCTTGACCAGGACCACACCCCTAAATGCATTGAAGCAACTGCCATGTGATTGGTTCATTAGATAATTGCATTAATGAGAAATTGAACAGGTGTTCCTAATAATCCTTTAGGTGAGTGTATATGTGTGTATAAACAAATTGTGCAACCAGAAAATGACAGGAGATAGATGAGAAGAATAAAAACTTCTCAGGTTGGACTAGTAGTAGATAGAGACCTCCATGAGGAACTGGTGGCCCAAACCATTCCATTTTCATCTCAGAATTCTGTTGAAAGTCTTTGTGAAGGAATCATGGGAAATATCTAGAGCCCTAGGAGTCAGGAAATGTTGAAGGACCACCCCCCCCCCCCCCCCTCCCTGCAGGCTGTCAGGATACCCCAAGCGCGAACGACTTACCTTCCTCCAGCTCGTCCATGGACATGATCTTGCGGGTGCCATCGATGGTGAAAATGAAGCGCACCCCCTGTGGCAGGTTGATGTGGTCGGAGAGGGAGCGCGTCAAGTCGGCGAGCAGTGCGTCGAAGGTGCGGAAGCGGTCAATGGCCACCGCGTACACGATGCCCTTGAAGTAGCGGTCGCCGTTGCGGTAGAAGCGCACCTTCTTGGCCTTCTTCTCGTTGGTGAGCGCCTGCAGCGTGCGCGTCCGGTAGAAGCTGCAATGAGCGCTGTGCGTGGGGCTGGGCAGCCCGTTGGCACGAGACCCCCGGGGGGTCCGGGAGACCTTGTCCCGCTCATCAAAGTGGCCGAAGTCCTGGTCCATGGCAAGAGGAGAAGGGGACGACTAGGGCAGTTGTGCTGCTGTCAATGCTGGTCCAAATCTGCCAAAGAAGCAGACATGTTCTTATTGTTTTTGATAATAATAACGATTATGATGGGGGTGGCATGGTGATGCAGTGGTTAGCACTGTTGCCCCACTCTTCTGGGACCAGAGTTTGTGTCTCCGCCAGGGTTCCATGTGTGTGGAGTTTGCATGTTCTCCCCGTGTCGTTGTGGGATTTCCTCCGGGTACTCCGGTTTCCCCCCACAGACCAAGAACATGCTGTCTGTGTGCGTGAATGGTGTGTGAGTGACTGGTGTGTGAGTGAATGGTGTGCGAGTGAATGGTGTGTTAGTGAATGGTGTGTGAGTGAATGGTGTGTGAGTGAATGGTGTGTGAGTGTGCCCTTCAATGGGTCGGTGCCCCATCCTGGGTTGTTCCCCAAGGTTGTTGCCATTTATATAAGTGCATTGGAGTCTTGCTCTCCTATGAGACATATGCACATACATGAAGGTACATCAGATCGGAGCCCAGGGTCAGCTCCCCTGGAACATTTTTGGGGGTTAAGGGACTATGCTCAAGTGCCCAACAGTGATGCAACTACTCTGTTGACAATGGCATTCAAACCGGTGACCTTCTGATCACAGGCACTGTGTCCGAACCCACAGAGCTTAGGGAAATACTAACAAAATCCATCCATCCATTCATCTTCTACAGTATACCCACTTCTCCTATGCAGGGTCTGCAGCCTATGCCAGAAGCTACGGTCATAAGGCAGAGAACAACCCAGGATGGGGTGTCAGTCCATCGCAGGGCACATTCATGCACCAGTCACACCTATGGGAAATTTGGAACCTCCAATGCACCTTAGCATGTTTTTGGACTGTGAGGGGAACCTGGAGTACTCAGAGGAAATCTCACCATGACTCAGGCAGAACATGTCAATTCCACATACATGGAACTGGGGCAGGGAACTGAATATGAGGCAACTCTACTAACTACTGAGCCACCGTACCAGTAATAAAATACAAAAAGAATATCATCAAGTGAGAGGTTTATTTAATTTTTTTTTTTTTTTTAAGAAAAATCATCTTAAAGTTATCCTTGGTGCATAACCAAATTCATATAACAATTTCAGCATGTCTCGCAGTTACAGTCTCCCAGAATACTGTTCAGCCAGCCAACCAAACAACTCGATATGGCCAGATATCAGATTACTTGGCTACTACAATAACATTTTAGACAAACACCAACATTCACGACAGCTGAAACTAAAGAAAGCAAAGACGTATCACCGTGAGATTTACCCGCTGCAGACCAACCATCTGAAGGCCAAGGCTTACAACAAGATCTGAGTAGCATTTAATATATATATACACATGTCGGATTTCTCTGTACGCCTATGCCAACACTGCTCACAAAACCTTCCGGTGGTCATGGACCCTACAGAGAAGGATTGGGTGTTTCCTCTAGGGGAATATATGATTTCCTGAGATGAAGTGTGTTTGGCCCCTTGCCTACAGTTAGAGCTCCTGGTATCGATTGAGTCCATTTCATATAAACCGCAAAGAAAGTCAGTCTTATTGCCTGTTAAATATGTAAATCTGGAAAAGAGGTGGCAGAAAAGGCATTTGACGGAGCGAAATATGCGAAATAATCGCCTGTTATCAGTAGCAGAATCTGGTTATTTAGTGAACCAACCAAGGCAGAGGCTTGTGTGGACTTCGTAGATTTGGTAAACCAGATTCTGCTACTGATGATGGAAAGACTGTTGTCTTTATGCTACTATATTTATGAAATAGCAATGCAAGTAACCCAGCCATCTGTAAATGGATTATAGCATATGTTATATATTTGTCAGTCCTGATTTAAATAAATAAATTTGTATTACCAAACATATTATGCAGTGCATTTCCAGTGTGGCAATTACTTAAAAACAGCCAAATTGCAGTTGGGTTTAGCATTGAACAAACAGGTCCATCTTTCATTATGTCAGCAACTCAAGTAACTACAGAGGTTCGTACAGAGTTAAATCGACAGCATTATAGCCAGAAAATAGATTAATGTTTAAGGAACTGGATTTTCAGTCATGCCGTTGCAAGGGGATTGCAAATCTCAGGAAAAGGCACTTAGCCCAGAAAGCTTCAGTATATATCCAGCTGTATAAACGGAAAAAGGTTGCATATATAAAATAATAATATCTGTGTAACTCCAGTTGTATCCCAGCCTTGTCGAAATGTGAGGGATTCATTTTTTTATGGTGTCTCTAAAGTAAAGATGGCACTCCCACAACCAAAGTATTTTCTTGGCATTTTAGCCCTATTTATCTACAAATCCTTTAATCACCAAAAGTTATAATAACAGTAACCGCAATGAAAGTGTATTTCAAATTTTTCTTTGAGAATACTGGATATCTAATTTTCCCTGTCTTCAGTCACAAAGAGTGAATGGGGGGGGGGTGTCCCCCCACCCCCAGGCAGAATAAGCAAAGTCTAACACTGTATGCTGTGGAAAGCAGTAGCCAAGCCAGACTCTCTCCACAAACATCTGCTCCTTTCAAACACAAACAAGTCTTTTTCTAACTCGCCCAATGCGTCTCAGTTTCTGGCTTACAATGCGCGGACATTCTCCGGACAGTCTTTGGACTGTACTCTGGACATCAGAACAATCTGCGGATCGGGATAAAAAGACAAAATGCACCCCCTCCCCACCTCCCCACAACTACTGACTGTCTTCTTTTCCAGTCCTGTGCCTTTAAGGCTCGTGATTTAGGAGTCGGGGTAGGAAGCTAAAGAACTGATATCAGTTACAGACACAGATTGAAGGGCTGACATGGGTCCGTGCCAGAACCTGACCAAAGAGGTCCTGGCAGAGCCGCAGAACCAGAACCTAAACTGAAATAGTTTAAACCATTTGGAATGTGATGCCTGTGTAAGTCCTTTCCTTGTGCTGAGGGGGCGTTTCCACACTAAGGGCCGAATTGCTAAAATTCCAAATAATATGCAAGCCATCCTATCATCGCGTCTGGATTGTGAAAACAGCTGTAAATTTGTAGCATTCTACTTTCAAGCTCACAGAAGAATAAAAAAATCACAAGAGCGCCAGAGTATCACAAGTTAATATGCTATTTCTAAATCTGATTTAGCTCTATGGAGTGAATTTTCTGTTTTAAATATCCTGTCTCTGGGATCTTTGTCATTCTATGACTGGATGTGTGCATAAGCAAACTGGGCCACTGATTACCCTTATATTGCTATTCTGATATGCAAATGCGGTCCCCAAGCAGTGTCCCACAATCCCTCAGCCAAGTCACATGACTCCAAAAAACTACAATGTCCTGTAATGCTGTGATTTTGAACCTTGGTACTAGAGATGTAACGTATATGCTTAGTTTTGTTTCCTGCAAACTTTTTGGTGTTTCCAATCAAGACATGAAATGGAGGATTCAAGCCAATCAAAACAGTTCCAGCAGCATTTTTTTCAGGGATAAACTTGTTTTGTTAGAGGCTCAAAAGGATAAGTTTTGGGAAAAAGAAACATGTTTAGATAAACACGTATTTAGTTTTACTTTATAGGAAAAAATACATGGAGCTGAAGATTTACTTTAAAATAAGTAGAATGACGGTATTCAACCATTCAGCAGCTTAGTGAAGGATGCTTAATTAAGAGTTGAAACGAAAATCAGCAGGAACATTCTGATTCCAGAATCAAAGCTGGAAGCCACTGCGCTAGGGACCACATTTGCCTGTTAATTAATTTGTGTGTGCACTGAGATTTACAATTCTACAGTGTCATATCCCAAAGATAAGCATGATTATGGTCTAAGACTGGTGGATTATTGTGATCAATGGAATTCTCTAACTTTATCTGGCTGAATTGTGCCTTCCTATATAAAAATAATTCTCACAGGTTCAATTGGTTATTTATGTTCATTTCATCACGTTTTATCTTTTTCCGAGTTGATTCCATTCTTCGCCCCCCGAAAGAACAAAAACACAGATAACTGTCATAATTAAAAGGAAACAAAACCATGCAGTTAGGTAAAGCTGGTTCCTTCATTGAACAACCCAGAAATATTACTGCCAGTGTATTACCTGTCTTTCTTGGGTCTGATACCAAGAAAAGTATCTTTTGATTCAGTGCAGAAGTGCAGTGAGGTGGGAACTGAAAAGCTAGAGTGAGAAAACTGGATACAGCTCACATCGGTGCTTCGGTAATCGCTGACACAAAATCAAGTTTCAGATAAACGGTTTCCAAGATACAGCCAGACCACGCCGCTCAGCCTTTTCTCGGCACACACAGCTACGCCTTTTTTTTTTTTTTTTTTTGCATTGATATTTTAGCTACATATCGCCAGGCTCCAGTGCAGCTCCTCAGCTTGAAACGCTCTGGCTGCCATCTCCGACATTCAGTGCCTTCCAAGGTAGCCGGGGGGAACATCCAGGACCGCAGCCTTGGACTTACGGCGGCTTTTTCGGTCACAATGAGCGGCGTGCTGAGAACGCCCACCTCACAGGCGTAGCTGGTGCAAATCAGACCTTCGGCAACTCAACTACAGGATCTGGCAACAGGAGCCAGATTTTTCTCAAGACAAAAAGAGCTCAGCAAGCCATCAGTGATGCAATCAAAGCCGGTCATTTACAGCATATCCTACATATTCAGATGGATCACATATCGCCATTTAGATTCACAAGCCCCTAGTTTTGCAAGATATCAGGGTCTTGTGGGAGGTGGTCTTGCTGACACTGCACCTAGTGATGGAGCTTTCCCTCATTTGGGGGGGGGGGGGTTTGCAGGGAGTGAGACAGAAAGAGTTGAGATTCTCAAGCCCATCTGCCCCTCTGGGTAGAGGTAATTCACGCTGACCCAGCCCCTGGATGGGGGGGGGGTTGACATCCCATTGTTTCAGGCAGATAGCCCTGCTGCTCCCTACCAAGCAAGACCACCTTCGAGATATGACAGCCGGCAGAGGAACCAAAGGACAGGCTCTCCCTGACACACAGGATCCCTCCCGTCACACACGCAGAACAGTTGTACCTTGTTCTTTTGTGTCACAGGGACACTTTGACTGGGCTACAGCATTTCAAGGTTGGACCTGTGACAAGCTCAGCTTCCATTATCTGCACTGGAGAAACTCACTGCTCCTGTTCCACAGAAACACTCCAGGTGTCTCACACTGAATTGACTCCTTTAAAATGGCTTGTGGCTGCAGACTGATCTACGTGTAAACCTTGTCAAGCCCTAACGGTTATGCATTTCAGTCAATGAAGTTAATTTCTTCTTATTGTAAAAATGCCAATGACCGTACATCTGAAGACCAATTTTCAAATATAGATGACAGGAACGCGGCATTTAAAAGTTCAATAAATTGGATGGATAGGAAGCCGCGTATTTCCAACCACCTGCTCCATTAGATAGTTCATTCCTCCATAGGAGCCTCTTCTTCCCGCAATGAATGACCTTACACAAGGACATAAAATAATTCACTGGCATTCCTAAGACCGCTTAAAATAGGTGATGTTTTGTAGTCATTTTACGCCCGAATTGCCTTTCGGCTGGATGTAATGTGTCTAGCGTACTCACCGGAGCGCCTGATCCGGGAGGGTGTGGATGCTGCAGAAGAGCCAGACGATCTCAGTGTCTTTGTCTGCGCTTCAGCCTGGGAGCCTCTGCATGCGTGGTCGGCGCCGCCGCTGGGTCCCAAAGCCGGCGGCTTGGAAACCGCCCTCCTCAACGACGGTGCGTGCTGCAGCGTCGGCGGAGAATAATGGGCGAATAACGAATGACGTAACAATAATAAAAATAAATAATTAAATCAGTACTTCAATAAATAACCCATTATGCCCATTGAGTCTGCCCAGAATAAGCGGTGCAAGGAACAACCCATTACAGAACTCTGCAGAGTCCTAATTTCTTTATCCATTTGTTAATAATTATTTTACAATGATATTCGATTTTAAACATCTCATATACGACAGAAACCTTTCTGGAAAGAGTTTGTTCTGATTTGTGTCTTGTGACAATGTTTAACCTGGAACTACTAAAAAAATCCATATTTCCACAGGAGCACGGGTGACGTAATTCTATTAGTTCCAGAGAACCCCCAATTTAAATCTAAAATAAATATACTTAGAAACAAGTATAAACCAGTTGATTGGGTACTAATCTATATAAAACATACTCGTACACATACACTAGTTCAATTCTATCCACTGGTTATATTGTCAGAATATTTCCCTTTGTATAAAGACGATTAACTAAAGTACTGGTAAGAGAAAATTAGTTAATTTAACCAAATATTAAATAGGCCTAAATGCGAAATATGGCCTGCAACGGCGCATAAGGAATCATATTTTTTTACTTACTAGCAGTGAAGCGGATTTTCAATAATAATAATAATTTTCAATAATAATAATAATAATAATTATTATTATTATTATTATTATGTCTACTACTTTTGAAAATCACCTTAAAATTGGTCAAATAATCTTCATATGGTAGTATTATGTATACATTATACATGTGATTAGAGAACCATTGATGTAAGGTAAGAGCAACATTTGTAAATTTCCAGTGACTGGAAATCTGAGGTCTGGCCAAAAACCTGCTGATCTTTTAAGGCAAAGTAACTGGTTCCTCTCCAAGAACTTCAATAAGGTCCCTTTTCACATCAACCTCTCTTTAATCATGTGGTATTTTAACACAAAGCCAATAAGTTTATGTAGTGACCAGCTTATTATAATGGTGTTGCTTTTTAGAACATATGGTGACTTGTCTGGGTGCCAGTATGTGACGAGTATCATAGACTTCAAAACTTGTCATGCAACAGTGCATCTGAACCCTAATTTAGAATGTGTGTTAATGACCAGCTATGTATGTTTGTAGGTGGGTGTTGGAGGTTGTGTGTGGCTCAGTGGGGTAAGCCTCTGTGTTCTGGATTAGAAGATCCTTGGTCTGAACCCAGGCTTAGCAAAGCGGTCCCATGTCCTTGGGCCCTTGAGCAAGGCCTGTCACCCTCTGCTCTATGGCTGCCTTTGCAGCGAGCTGCTCTTTGGTTCCCCATTATCTGTCTGTCTCATGGAGAACTAGATGTGGCCGGTATGAAGAGTTTCCCCATGTGGATCAACAATGGCCTATTCCATTCTAATGGGAAGAAAATGTTACATAATTGCATATGTGCTACTAACTGATTAGTAAAATCGCTATGAGGAATACAGTGCACATGCCTGACAATGAACAAAGCAACACGTATAACAATANAATGGGAAGAAAATGTTGCATAATTGCATATGTGCTACTAACTGATTAGTAAAATCGCTATGAGGAATACAGTGCACATGCCTGACAATGAACAATGTGACACTGGGAAAGATTGGAAGCCCCAAGTCACATAGCACAATAATGAACTGAATGTCAATGTGCATATATGCAAGTGTTTCTATTTTAATATTTCATTCATTCAGTGCTTATGAAAATATACAGTATATATAAATGTAGGCTTATAGATAAAGGTATAGATATAGGTACATAGAGAAGAAACTCCGCCCTGCGCCCACTGCTGTTGTACTGCTTATTCCAGGGAAGCTGTTTATGGCTGTGGCGAGTAAATGCTGTAGGAGATAACTGACAGCCTCCTTCAGAAAGAGCCAGTCTGATTGGCTAATCTGACTGGAATTTATAATGAGAGACGGCTTCTCTCTGACCCCCTTCCCAGAATGCCACGGGGCCCGGGTGTCTGATCCTTGTCACCCTATCCACACTCATCCCAGTCTATTCAGGATTGGTTTCATGTTCATTTATTTCACTTTGACTGCTGTAGGCAGGGTTATGCTACAATTAATTTGACAGCACAGTTCTATAATAAATTTGGTTAAAATCATGACAAATTAACTTTGAATAGCTGAATTTGATTTATTCTTTGTAAGATGTGCAAGAAAAGTTGGATAAAGAGACATCGAGGTATTAATATCTCTCTCAAAAAGGACCATTGCTTCTATATTAGATCAATTTGCTAAATTATGTTTAATTATCGTTGCATCAGATCAAATAAGAAAGCTAATGTTTCCAGGTGTGGCTGCAACGATATTGTAAATCATTTTAAAAGTTCTTTACTTCTGGACCAAGGTCTGATCACCAGTAAATTAAGAGGTTTCACTTTAATTATTAACTTCAGGAATATAATCCTAGAAATGAATATTTCTGGGAATTCACTACGGTTCTCATGACTTTGGTGGGCAAGCTTTGATTTGACCATTAATTGGAACTTTTTTTAATATAAAAAAAGCCGTTTGTGTGTTTAATATTAGTTAACTTTGCTAAATGGTGTCACCGCAGTGACCCTCTTGGGACAGGGGAAAGTCCCCATTCTTTACCACTGCGCTATGTGCTCCTTAGAATTAGGTCAGGAAATTGATCTGACCTGTGTTATTCTGTAGGAACACACCGGGAGGTCAGTTCATTACCTAACACCCTTTTTATTAACCAAAAGCTGTAACCTCATTTCAATTCACAGATGACAAAAAAAATTGCATGCATTCAAAATGTGAGTACATGTCATTTCCCCCATTTACCCTATAGCATTTTGACTTGTTCTTCCCTGTAGATCATTCAGAAACTCACACAACCTTCATTCATTTATGTAAATGACTTCTTATCCATTTGGGTCAAAGTGTGATTAAAATTGACAGCTTGCCTTCCCAGAATGCCACAAGGCCCGGCTGTCTAATAGTAGTCATCCTATCCACACTCATCTACAGCAGCTCCCTGCTCTCTGGCTCCCAGCCTATTCAGAATTGTTCACATTTCCAGTTTTCCATTTGTACCATGAGCCAGAAGAGGTTACGTTTGTTGTTCTTGCCTGTTGGAATCTAGCTTTGACATGATTTCTGGGTAAGTGCTGGTCATTTCTGGGTGGCTGATCTGCAGTGTTCCTGTCTCTAATTTCTCTTCCTCTTCCAATACTAATTCATTCTGACTTCTGTCTTCTCACAGAATCCATCAGCCAACTGGGTCCCGGGTCACATGAAGCTCAAAGGGGTGACAAGTAATGACAATTACAGTCACTACAGTCTAAACATGATCTATAATGCATTTTGAACATATAATCAGTCTCCCAATCCAAGGAGAGCTGGCCTTATTAAAAGGTGGTGTGGCGTGTTTTCACCCTTCCTATCCACGTAATCTTATTATAGCACACAAATTTTGATGCCTAACGATGTTACATCTGCCAATGGCATAGATGAGATTTGACAAATTTAATTTACACCAATTCACACTTTGTATACTGGCCCTTGTGCAGAACACAATTCTGTACCTACATTCTATCTAGCTGCATACTCATTAAAACAGTTTTCATTTGTCCTATGCAACTGATGTTCTGGAAAAATATGAACTAATGTGACTTGCTATGGACTGGCATGCTGTCTAGGGTATACCCCAGCCTTGTGCCCTATATTGCTGGGATAGGCTGCAGGCCCCCTGCAACCCAGGGCAGGATAAACAGTTAGTTTTGTGGATGGATTTTTCAGGAAGATGGATATATAATGAGATATAACAGAGTTTTTTTTGTTTGTGGCACCAACAATCAACTCAACTGGGTGTCTGACATTGAATTGTTAACACTGTCAAAAATTTGGACATGGGGTAATAGAGGATTTTCTTCCCATAAATGAAAGAAATGAGGACACGGTTGAATGAAGTAGCTGCAGTTATTTTAGTGCCACAATGGTGGCTTTGAATGTTTATTGTTCTAGACATTTACATTATAGCAAATTGCACTTATTCAATACTTCAGCTTTTCTCTTACAAAGGATTCCGACGGTCAAATTTGCATGTCAGGCTCCTTCTGTTGCGAGCAACGAGCTTTTTTGCATGTGATGGGGTCTTTTTTTAAATGAGCATCCGTCAGCCTCTGCTCTTGCCATGGACTAATTAGCACATGTACAGCTCTCTAATTTTGCTTGATGTAGAGAGTTTGAACCGTATCCCATCCACCCCTGGCAATGGGCCCCAAAATAAATCCAGACTCAAATGAAACCAGGTCCATTCTTCCCCCTTTGCAGATCAACCTTGCCGAAGTACGACACCCATCCAGGCGTTTCCATGATGAATTATCAAATGCATGGACATGTAGATCCTGAACCTAATCCCAGAAAGGTACGGGCGCAAGGCAAGGTCCTGGATGGTATGCCAGCCCATCACAGGGCTCACACACTATGGGCAGTATTAGAGACGCCTGACTGATTGTCTTTGGCCTGTAGCAGGAAAAGCAGGAAGGACATGCGAACGTCACAAACACATGACAGAGGCAGGATTAGAAACACTGGCTGAGCAACCCACGGAGCCACCACGCTGCCCTTAAACGCAACATTAACTCTAAGTTAAGATTGCCTGGAAATACCGTTATTATTATTAAAATTATAGGCAAATGAGCTAGACAGCATTAGTATGAATTGCCTGGGATTTACTGTATCATCCTTCCTTTTTGACAGTAGATATGAACTATTTTCAGAAAGTCATAATTAATAACCATCCATCCTCCCCTCAAATTACCCCGGAAGCATTCCGGTCCTTGTGCTGAAGTTAGAGTGTCATAGAGCCTGACACTTAGCAATTCCGGCCACTCATGGCAGGGTTGCGAAAAGACGCGAGAGTCTTGAAGGAGCTTCTCCGAGCTCTACACCCCCGGCCCGACTTTC